TCATACTTGATTCTGCGAGACTCACATCATGTGTGCCGCCCTTTACTGCGACTTAGCATCAATACAACCCTGAGGGGATCAGTCATTAAAACTCGCAGAACAGTATAGCCTTCTGGAATGCCGCAGAAAAGTTTTTCTATTAATGTTTATCACCCGTGGAACGCTCTGCCATAATAGGTCATCTCTGCACAGTTGGATGACGCAATCATAAACTAACACTTTGTCAATCAGCGCTACTTCACTATCCTACAATTGGAGTTTATCATGGAATTATTTGATGCTAACTGTGGGTGCTGTGAATCTAAGCGGATTGCAGCGGAGCAAACGTTAAGTTCCTATATCATATATAAAGTACTAACTGCTTTATTATTATAATAATTATTAATATTATTTCGACATCCCCACCAACTATCCAACGGGAGTTGTAAAGCAACGCTTCTTAACCCGTATAAATCCATTGTTCGTTGTCATAAGTGGTAACTAGACCACGATGTCACTTATGCCGCGTCGCGAAAATGTTTCCGTTATAGCGATGACGGAATTTCAATTCGGAAAGTTCGCTACGTGTACATACAGGAGAGGTACTTGGACGTCGGAAGCGCTTGACAAGAGTGTATGAGTGGATTGTTTGCCGACAGATGAAAGGTTGACAACGGCGTACGTTAGTCAATCCCTCCTAAGTTAGTGTGTTGCGTGGTACCTCTGGACAAAAATGTTAGAAATACGAAACAAATATGTGGCAGTGGTGGATTGCCTTGGAAGCAGAGAATCGTGTTATTTACTCTATGGCACTTGACCCTTCCACATATAAGGTAGTTATACTCACATCTGTGTTCAGCATGTCCGTCACTATTCATTGTCAATTCTTTGATTACTAGAGCGCGGAAAGCCCCCTTTGAGTCGCACGATCTCAAATTATGCGGTAAGTTGTTCCACATAACTGCGTAGAGATTGGAAACGTGTTACGTCTATTCCATATAAAGTACTTAGGGGTAAATTAAAGTAACATCGACATGTCGAAAGACGCGGTTGTGGATCATATCAAAGATGCAGCTCAGGTTGATATATAGTCTCCTTAACTAGGAGTTGCACGTTCATCTCACAGTAGCTGTCGTTGTAAGATCAGTTTCTCATTAGACGCTTGGTAAAGGAGTGCGGTGCATTTTCTAGTGCAGTTCCGTCACTTACTTTCAGATTGTAGCATACTAATGAACAATATTCTTATAAGCGTTTTATATAGGTAGGTTTTGGATCCATCCAAAAACAAAGGATTTTATTTGTAAACATCCTAGTCCACAAGATTTTGCAACAGTATAGTGCATCTGTTTGGCAAAATTGAAGAGGGTTGGGCAGTGTAGCACAAGATCACGAATTGTGAGACAGGTATAGTGTTTCACCGTCTACCATCAATGAATATGGTGAAATACCCCATCGGTAGCATAAGCAGCTGCACTTCTCGGATGAGAGTTTGATTTTCCAGTGCAGATCGGATACGACGTTACTGACATTGTCCGAATCGAAATTATAGAAAAGCTGGATATCATCGGGGAATATATATTGCTTGACAACATCGAGAAAGGCGCTAGAGCAATTCTTTGGATCACGTCACTTGTGACTAGTCTACTTGTAGAAGTATTGCCTAGTATTTCGACTGCCTGATGCTGACCAGAGGTACGATGATATCCAAGAATGTAAATTGCCAATTGTATCGCAGGAATGTACTTTAGATAAAAAGCTATCCATGCGGAACCCCACTGAGTGCATAACGCATATCGAGGAATGTGACGATCAGGTGCGCCGAAGATTAGGAGTTGTATTTGGTAAGTTATACATGACCGTGTTCCCAGAAATCCGTGTGGTGCAGTGTTGATAAACTTCCGGGACGATAGAAATTTGACTGTTTGGCTTTTACTGCCCTTTCCATTGTTCTAAACAGAATGGAGGTATAGTTGATAGGCCAATAGCTCGTCAGTATTTGAGGTGGGCTACTTTGTATCGTAGTGAGACCAGCGCATACTTCCACACATCTGGAACAACCACAGACTTCATGGATAAGGCAAAACTATTCTGAATCATTATCGAAATATTAGAAGCTACGAATTCGAACACAGCAGAAGGTATCACATCTGGACCAGGATAAAAAGTAGATAAGATTGAGCTGATCAAATTTCTTACATCCGATGGCTCAAGTGCAACCGTACTGATTGCATCGGCAGTTTTAGCAGGGATTTTTAACACCGGTAACATGTACAGCTCTGTGAAGGACAAATATTCACTAGAAACTGCGCACCGCTGAGCCGGGTTTGCAGAAAGGCTGCTGTCAGGCAGTATATTGGAAGGTAGTACATCATGCTTGAAGTTGCCTTTGAAGTAGAATAATCGTGTCATTTCTTTAGTTTTATTGCAGGAGGTGAAGATATTTGTCTCATCTGAGAACAGATCCGTTTCTAAGGATGAGATTATTCGAGTTTGCTGAATTAACAGACTAGTTGTTAGTCTTTCTAAATCTATATCGTAGCTTCTTAAGCTTTTGTGCGGCGGAATGGAGTTCTGACTCATCTTGAGGGAAGTAAGCCTGCGACGCATCGGGAAGAAGCTATCTAGACACCGTTGGACGGTGTGAAGTGGACCAAACACGTCGAAGTCTGAATGTTGCCGAAAGCTGTGTTCCCCATATCGTTTTTCCATTTCGACGCCGCTTGGATCACGCTAGGATCCGACTGCATTGATGCTCCCTCAGCAGCTGCACAGGTTTCCCTGGACTAAGAAAGGCTGATCGGTGACGGACAGAAATCATTTAGTTCGAAGGATTATCCACGATTCCCCTTCTAATACAGGACTGTAGTGGCCCGATGATTTCCCTGTTCGCTCGAGATATGATGGTAAAATACGCCAAGATAATTAGTTTCAGCATGTACCCAGAGAATCTAGGGTGTCCGTCTGTGTGTGGTTGTTTGAATAGCTCGGCTCACATTCGCGCCGTCCACATCGAACTGCGCTCGTCCTTACTTACGTTGCTCCCGATTTGTATAGGATCCAATAGCTAACCTGGTGTATCGATGTCGTCCTAGCCTTAGATTAGACATCGTGCATATAGACTACTAAAATAAAGGAGGTTAGTGTTTACTACTGGTGGTTTTAATTTGTCAACAGTTGTGATGATTGCTTTCCTTTCGCATTCCGCTCTAGGGGTAACCAGCTTCGCCAATACAAACCCACTTACCTGCCATAGTGTATCTTCTAGGTCACTGAGGGCAACTTAATCATAGCAAGATCATTACGAAGGTATCTGGCACAAACACCGCAGCGTTTAGGCGAATTCCCAGTGCCATATCTCTGTGATAAACATAATATCGGGGGTTTCATAAACGTAGGTGTTGAAAGAATACTCAACCAGGGTTGAAAGCAGCACATGTTTATAATGACAGATTTGAGAGTGGTTATCATACTAGAATAAAAAAGAGTTGTGCTAGGATAAGTTCGCAGAATGAAAACGCAGATGTGTGTAGGAAGCAACAGGGTCGCTAGCATTTTCTGCATCTCACTGATAACAGCGAGATGGAATTGTGCAAGATAGCTTAGAGATCGGGAGGAAAACCCGAATCCTGACCTGATAAGACAAGCTATCGGGCCATAAAAGCCCAGATCGAACTATCAGGGCTGATGTATTAAGTGAGAGCACGGTAGGTCGACTGCACAGACAGAAACTAAGTGTAACTTCACGAACGGAAAGAAGCGCACCAGAAACAATACAGACCCAACGATACGATATCCAAAACAGATAATTAATTTGTATGTATATAAAAGGAGGCTAAGCCACAGTGCGCACAGTAACACTGTTGGGAACTACGACGAGCCGAGGGCGTAATCAATACACCGGAAAATGCGAGGCTGTGTGATGATCATTGAATGGGACGATCAACAGAGTGATAAACAATGGCAGAAAGGAGGAAGCCGTAGGTGAAAAAAAACCAAGTAACAAAACGGAGCGCAAATTGCAGGGGGAGTCAAGTGCATTATTCGGAGTGTAGGTGAGCAAAACAGCCTGACAGAACGGATAGTGATAATACGGCCCGGGCACAAGTGTAAGCCTATACAACCCCGGTTATAGGATTCCGAAATGCAAGTCAAGCGGTCATCCGTATGGGACATGCGTGATTTTGGAAGAAAAAAAAAACAAAAGCAATGGTTGTCAGTGGGGAAGGAAGATAACAGTGGCTTCCGATAGATCACGGCACAGCAATCTTGGGGAAACTGTTGAACTGTAGATGGTAAAAAGTACGCCGGGAAAGAAGGTTCAACTACAGCGGAATGAGAATGAATGGAGAATGAGACGGAGTAATGAAAAACACAAGTGAAAAAGTCAAACGAGAATACCGATGGTCAGGTATACAAATATAAAAGAATGAACAAGTAACGCTGCGGGCATGTTGTATGAGTATGGGTTGGGGACTGGGGGGGGGGATGAAACACGATAGGATTCTGTGCTTTACTGTGAAGTGCAAGTGAGGTAATGAAACAAATTAATTGTTTGGAGTGCAGGCAAGGAGAGAAGACAAACGGGGGAAATTTGAGGATAAGAAAGACGAAAGCCCAGTGATGCAAAATGGTGTTATCCTTATGTAGCAGTTGATAAAGGAACACCAAAACTCGTGTCGATTTGATTGTCCAATAAGCTGACCGAGGTAGAAGTTGTGGAGTGGTGATAACGATGACCAAAAGGTGATAGTTGAAGTCAAGTAAAATCTAAAGTGGAAAAGAAAATGAGGACAGAGGGAAAAAAGTGGAGCTCCAACGACTAGAATAACAGATTAAAATAACTTGGTGTCCGCTGTTTCTGGTGACATATAAATACTGCAGTATGTCTCTTTTTAAAAAGCCGCTAAGTCAAAGTGTGAAGGAAGGGGTAGTGCAGATTTTATAGCTAATTCGAGGCTGGGCTTGAGCTGTGCTGAGCAGAAAAAGGTTACTCCTTCCATCCGAAGGAGTGGTGGAAGTTGCAACTTTGACGCTGGGCGTATACTGCTGAAATATCCAGAGTGCGTGGAAGAGATGAGGATTCGGTGACCTATCCCTCTCGAATGGAGGCACATTGAGGGGGCGGTAAAAAAGTAAGCTGTTTAATGGCCATCGAATGGAAGTGCACGAGGGGAGAGGCAAGGAGAGAGGAGCATAGATGATTTCTGACGTGCACCCAGCCGAACGAAATAGGAAGGGTTTGAAAACAGGTTTCCAGAGTCATAGTAGTTCATACTGTCGCAGGTGCATTCGCTGAATAATATCTCGGCAATCGTTAAACACGCGACGAATGTTTTCGGTGTCCACGGCGCAAGTGAGATGCGGATAGCAGTAATGTCGACCACCGTTGTTATTCGAGGTGACTCGCTAAAACAAACAAATGGGAGTGTGAAGTGAGCATGGAGGAGACCACAGATGCGAAAACAATATAGCATGTGACTGAGTACGTTACCTAACCAAAAGAAAGCACATGGAAACTGAGACTTAAGGGGTTTTGCGCAGTGCTCGCTGGCGGGTACACAAGAGACAAAACTTACCGAACGACTTTTCAATAAGCATGATGTACACCGAACATCATTACTAACATAATTGGGATGATTGCAATGGCACTTTTCAGAGCATTGTACGAACAATCTTAAAACGTACGGACTCATTTCAACTAGTATCCAGACCAAGCGTGGTATCTGCGATGCGGCCACAGTGGTGGTTCTCATCTGCATTTTGCTCACAAGTGTATTTACTTATCAGTTAGGATCAGAGCTTGTTTAGGTATGTGCTCTGAGATCTACTTGGTGATGACATGGAACAACAGAGACGGAACGGCTACTTCATACAATGTCAATATCAAGGCAGTAAAACCCTTTAAATATATAGTTAAAAACAGCTAGTAAACACATTGGCGAGACAGCAGTCACGCAGCTTATATGGTATAGCGTCAAAATCAATCATGTTTATCTTTTGCGAAGAGATGGTACTTCTACGTGGTGCGGTGGTTTTTGTACCGCTGTGGTCCAATGAGGTACGTTGCGTGCCATCCTCCAGATGTTCGCAGAGAAACGCATACTCGGCAAGCAGTGGTTACAGATTGGACAAACTCAGTTGCAGCTTATTCTGCAACGGATGCTGAAAAGACTGATAGCTATCCTTTTAGAAAACCCCCATGTGAAGCAACAATCCACGATGTATAAGATCAGCTCGACTGACGCGGAGCAGGGGCGTCATGCGTTCTCTGACAATTGGAAGGTTCAAACTATGATCAATGGTTTACCATCAATCGCCTCAAACCAAGTAATCCTTGGTCCACTGGTTTCAAACCCCACCAACTCCCACCTGTGGCTGCTCGCGGTCGCAAGAATGTAATCTACTGGGGTCGAAAATGCACATGGACCGTTGGGAATATTTCGAAGTATCGTGTGGAAGACCTCGAGCATACCTTAATGGAACTTTGCAATCATACCCTAGAGGTAGACCTATTCCCTAGTACTTTATGGTTAAGACTGTTGGATCCTAGGGCACGCGGACAACACCAACTAGCAAGACCGCTTCCGTCGTCCTCTGCCAACCTCTTTCTTCCCAGATGAAGTAACAAGAGAGTGCCGCAGATTTCGAAACTACTGCGGCAATGTAGTGCCTATAGGGGTTAAACCGCTAACATTGACTAGCTATTTCCTCCTGACGTCTGCCGACCGCGTTGCATGGCGTTAAGTACATGTCGCTTAACCTAATTAAGAGAAACCATGTGGCGACCTGTCGTTGAAGTAGCATAACATCAGGAAATTTTCAGAGACTCCGCCAAGTGGGTAAGGGCCCGGAGATAGGGCACACCAGTATTTGGGGATCGTATCCGTCGGATCAAATAGTGATTCCGCGTTCAGTTTATTAGGTCACGCTGTCAAGTCAATTTTTGCCCACACCGAATCTTTGCCACTCTACATCTGTCAGACAAAATAAGGCAATTCTCGATAAGCGCTGACCGGGCATACGTGGTACGTGCCTAAGCCAAGCCAACTTGCTCAGTCTATCTGCAGTTCTAAGGAACTAACCTGAGTATCACGCCTACGTACATCATCGTTGCGGACAAGCTTGTGCCACGCGAGACCACCAATGCTCCGCAGATAGCGATGGTCAGAGAGTTGAAGGCGTCTCAGATATTCAGACCGAAGGGACCAAGTCTCACACACAGACTAGGACGGCCCTCACTGTGGCATTGTACACACGGCCTTTCAGACCGAGGGAAATCACATTCTGTCGACAATGTCGCAGATACAAAAAGGCAGTTCTGGCTTTTGCAATAAGTGAACTGATCTCAATACCTATACACCCAACTCTGCTGATGCACCTGCCAAGGTGAGTGGATTGATCAACAACCTCGAGTTCCTCTCTATCTAGGGTCATGGGCTCAGTGAGTAGCTTGTGTTCCTACAGCAACACTTTGGACTTTGAAGGTGCGAAACGCATACCAAATAATGGGACCACTCGAGTTTCTAGACGTATAAAGCTTTCTTCTAGTCTATCCCTAAAACCCGACAACGAATTACTAGTTTCGTTAGTAGTGTCTCACAACTGAAGTTTTTTTTAACCACAAAGACGCTTCATCATCTGGCTTGGTTGAGAGTTCTCCCAATAAGTTCGCTTTCTGATTTCGGACGTTATTGGTGCTAGACTCGCTACAGCTGTATTGGTTGTCCGTACGGACGACGGAAACAAAACACAGAAGGGAAAATAGCTAGACCAAGCAGCAGCAGTCATTGAGGTTGTTCATCTATATCAAACCAGGATGGTGAATAAAGCAATGCTCCGGAGCGTTTGGACAAATACTGAACTCACGAGAAATTCGTCCCGAAAGAAAAAGCGAGCACGGACGACTTCAGGATTTTCGTGATGATATTCCGCCAGGTCTTTGGCAAATGAAAGATAAACGGATCCGTTGACGTATGAAAGAAAATTACAGAAGAGCAACCCAAAAATGCAATTTGATACAAATAAGGACATTTCACAGAGGGAATTTTATACAGCAAAGTGTGGATGGAGCCAAAGACAAAATAAACAAACCGTCACGGACAAGCCATTAGTTTCTCGGACGTCATAAATTGAGATTATCATCCGGCTTGTGCAAGTAAAAGCTGATAAACCTTGCCAGAAATGCGATGCAGCAGGACTTCGTCGCTGGAGAATGTTAAAACAGTTGCCTCCCTTCAGCAATTTGATTAAAATGATGAGGACGCGCACATCGTAGCATCACATCAGCACCAATTTGATAAGAAGTAAAAAAAACTCTATAAAGGCATTGGGCGTTACCTGACCAATCACGTGTAGTAGTGACCGACGGCGACGACATAAGATCACGGTAACCGAAGACTGACGAATGCTTTACGCACATATGAACAGTCTATCCGACTTATCGGTACGCATTTGGCGTGTTACAGGAAAATCAAATTATAGTGATGTAGTAGAATCCGAAAGGCTCAGACGGGGTTAATCGGATAAGAATGTCCTGAAAGTATCAGACATGCTACTTGATGATCTATAGTTGGAAGCTTAGTCTCTAAATCTAAATTACAAAGGCGTGCCCAGTAAGCTGGATTGAGTAATAGGCGCACATTGTGAGAATTTCACAGAACTACGACCAACTAGCCAAAACACTGTCAGTAGTTTTGTAGTGTGTGCTCACTAGTCGACACATACAAGTGTTAAGAGGGTTTAAAGAATAAAGGTTTTGTTGTAAATGAAACCAGATAAAGGCTCAAAAGCAGTAGTCACTAATAAAACGGTTACATTCGGAAAACGTTGGGCGATTAAAGCGAATTGCTGCATATCGGTCGGTCAGAGAATCTGACGGAGGTTAGGGCCCGTATTATTCGCCACTTAGAATTACTAGTGCTACATCGCAGAACCGACCACGATATGTACAATAGCTTGAAGCAAAACGCCTCATTGGTGAAACAGCTGCATGAGTTACGAATCTTAGCCCCACTCAGAAAGCATTAAAATAAATACGATCTTAAGGATTCTTCCAGAGTCATTGAGGATCTCGACCAAAATAACCAAGCGGGCAAGGTCATGTGCTCTTCGAACGTTCTATCGTTGTCCACTAGTGTTCCTTTCCTCAAAACAGCCGATTACATCTGTCATCTTGCACCTTAGTATTGGATCAATACTCGAAAGCCAGGCGACAAAATGGTAGAGGTCACGGATCTTAAGCAAGGTCCCATTCATAGGCGATATTACGACCAAGTACAAATGAGAACTGACAAGGCAGCGAATGAACGAGAGGAGAGTGATCCTGCCGAAAAGACAGAGGAATCAGTCCGGATACTTCCTAATTGCTGGAGGACACGATATGTACTCTGTGTTAAGGAAGCTGGTTTACCCGCATTCACCAAATAGCTTATCTTATGCAGACCTAAAATATATACTCCTGAATCACCTGATACTAGCAAATTTGGAGACAACCGATAGGGTGCACTTCCATTCACACGTTCTTGACAAGAACATAAAAAGTAGAGACTTCATGCTGCAAATGCATACACAGGCTGTAAAGTGTAATTTCGGTGGTGAGCTCCATATACAACGTCGGGATCGACCGTAAATCGCAGAAGCAGCTTCTGTTAAAACCTGGAGTACCTAACAGCGAAATTGGAGACATTTGCGAGCAACATGAAGATATTAGTGCAATGAGCAAACAATTCGATACTGTCTTGCTGAATGAAGGCATCAATCGACATCAGACTATGCAGAAATTCCAGATCACCCATTGCAGACAACCTCAACGCGTACGAGCAAAACCTACAAAAAAGTGTTACAGTTGGGGTGCATCACATTTTCATAATATATGTCGCTTTCAAAATGCTGTTTGTCATTCATGTGGCAAATCTGGACCCATAGCGAAGGTTTGTCGCGCAAGCCCCGTGAGCCACTAACCAGTACCGCAAAGAAAAACTTTAGCATGTGATGCAGTTCTCACTCTACACATTGGTAATAGTCGTTTATTGGTGCACGAGTCGCTTAGGTTTCCATCTGGTACCAATGCCTCATTCGTTAAACACACCGGAAGCCAGCATTCGATAATTTCAAATGATATTTTGACACACATTGCTCCTGAAATGAAGATAATACTGACTGATGTTGTTATTCGATGCAAGCCCGGTTGGAGCTACTCGTCAGATGCTACCTATAGGTAGAAACAGAAAATATAGTAGCTGATTGTGTGCGATTTGTGGTAACTTCTCGCTCATCGTGCATCTTGCAATTGGATGCTATGCGCCAACTTCGAATTCATGCATCACTACTAGCGAACAGTATATCAACGGTGAACTCTGTCGAGTCTGAGATAAGACAAATAATAATAGACTGTGCAAGTTGCAGAGGGGGCAAGAAGGTACAACGGACGAGAGTACGGGCCGATGGTGACCCAGTATTTCTTTAACGGGGAATTCTTTCATACGGTATTCCGTGCTTGGCCACGGCTTGCGTCCTGTGTACACACTGTCCCGGTAGTTCTCTATAAATGAGACTGCTCGCAAGTCATTGACTTCTTCTGTTGACGAGTGACAGTTACCTGCGCTCAGTTCATTAACGCCAGTGTATTAGTCATTTGTATTACTCAAGAGTAGCAGGATTTTAGTTGTAATTCTGATAAGGCTTTATTCCCCGTAGTTCACAAGCTACATAGTAGAGTCTAGTCCGGAAAAGCACCAGACGCGTTTCGCCTTATTGGGGCTCGTCAGCGGTGCGCATTCCCTCAGTCCTCTAAGAAGGATCGAACCCGTGACCGCTAGAGGCAGATGCCAACTAGCCAGCAGCTTAAGTCATTTGAGTAAAGTCGGTAACTTTGTGCGCAAGTGCCGAAAGATACGTTTAGGCAGTCTATGTGGCTGTACACAGAAGAGACGGATTCCGTTTCCAACAAACCTCATATCTTCAAGTTGATGGAGTAGTCACTGGCAGTTTTTGGACCTTGTATTGGCCGACTTTTAGATGACAATGCTCGGAAGTAAATTAAATGGGGATCTTGTAACTCTCACTCTACAATTAACATCGATGACGTCAGTATGTTTGACTCCTCGAGGACGCAGACTGAACTTCTTGTGCAGCAGTTAAATAGCGTCCACGTCAAGTTAAAACGTACCCATGAATTCGAGCCGAACGATCGGCTTCCGAACCTGGACATTCTCATCAGCCGAGAGAATACCGGGCCCATTAAGCTCTCCGGAAGCGGACATGGTCTGGTCAATACGAGACCTTTACTAGTTTCACACCAATGGGTCACAAGCGTGTGCTAGTGAAAACTGCTCACTCGTGCAAAGTTTAATTGTTTGAGCGATTGTCTGGGTGAGGAGACAACTAATATTACTAGAAGGCTTATTGAAAACGAGCACTCTAGGTGTTTGATATACAAACAAAGTCAGTCCAGGATATCGAAAGTAACGGTGTTGACAGCACCAAAGGAAAAGGTCTACATCAAATTCCACTCGAGAGTAAGGCTGTAACGATGAGGATAACCAAGTGCGTAGTACCTGTTATTCAGAAAACATACTGTACAACAAAGGTTGTAGTAATCAATAGAACCCAAAAGTTGTGGGTGGCTTCAGTAAAACAAGAGGAACTCATCGGCGCCAAGTTGTGTGATTGCTGAGTCAGTTACGTAAACAGAGCCGATAGGATTTGGAATTCCACAGCGAAGGAACACCTGTATAACCGCGTTTAGCAAGAGATCAACCAACCACAGACCAATGCTCCGTGTTCATGTAAGCCGCCAGCATTATCAATAAGCAGGCGCATTTGGCTGTTCCATTTTCGAATTAACGCTATCTCGAGGTTCCAGATTTTATAGTCACCCCAATTCGCGTTTCCTGTGATTCACCGAGGCCGTGGCAAAATCGGGGATAAGGCAGGTTCTACCAGTGCAAAAAATAATTGGTTGTCAATTTCGGTTGCAGTGGGCTAAAGTCCGCTGCCGCCGGTTAACTTGATACGTGTGATCAACTTTAATACAGGTCATTTCTTGTTATTATGTTGGTACTGATGAGATAATAGGAAATGCGCGCACCTGCCAATGTCCGCCTTTTCACTGTGTTAATCAAACCTTATCACGTTTGATACACATCAATTGGGCGCAAACGATTCGACGATCGATCCAATTGCGTAGCCTCAACAGGTGACGTCGATGGATGTAAGAAAAAGACTTCCGGAAAGGAATGTTAAATTTCCTAGGCAATGCATGCGACAAATAATCAGTGATAAAATCAGAGCGAATGGTGAACACCATGACGCTCGCGCTGTTTTGAGTAAATTCAACGAAGAGGTTCCTGACAAGCATAACACAGTTCGGAGTTGACCGGCGAAACGTCAGTTCATCACAATTGATCAACCACGATCCCAGCACAGAAATGTGGTGGGTCCAGTTGCCACGACTCACCTCGCAAGAATAACAGTAAACATCACCAGCAAGATAGTGGGGTTAATGGCAAATAGAATGTAAAGAAAATGGAAGCGAGAAGGAAGTGCATTAAATTAACAGAGTGGAAGGAAAATTACCAACCAGATGCAAGAATGTCACTGACTGTGTGATTGTGCCACGACAGACACGATCTATAATCGCTGGTGGGGACCATCCTGAGAGCCCCATTCACCCACCTGAGCAACTCTCTCAGTCAATTTCTTCATGCCACTATGCTACGTCATGGATTGGCCACCTCACGGTTTCGCCCAACTTGGTGCAGCCAGGAAGCCGATCAACAGACACATGGAGAACATGGCCTAGCCAACGTAAGCGACTATGATTCAACAAACACTCAAAAGGGGCACCAGCAGGCTTCTTGCCAAATACCAACTGGAGGACGTCAGCATCGCTCGCCCGATGTCCCCACCGAACGTGAGCAATACGCCGCAAGTATCGGTGGTCAAACACGGCCAACCGACGAAACGTCAGAGTTCGGATGTTACGGCAATGTCGAGTTTGAGGAATTAATATCCCCGAGGAGTTCGTGCGTGGTGGGTTTCAGGCCCCAAGCGTAAGAGAAGTAGAAGAGCCGAATAGCCAATGAGAAGTGCTCATAAGAGTGTGAATAAGCACACGCAAAAGCGCGTGAGAGAGCGAACAAATGGGTACTCAGATATAGACCCGAGGCTAACGAACACAGAATAGACAATGCAAGAGACTAGAGCTGACCTCTGCAGTGGAGAGTACAGAGGATGAAGGATGATGAAAACTTCGCAAATAAGTGGAGCATATTAGGAGTTTTAAACGGTAACTGGGGAACCTACTGTCAGCTGGGGCCTGATACGTTGCATAGTGTGGGAAATAAACTTCAATCTTGGATTTGCCAGCCAACACTTTTTCGGTGAGTAAATCTTGTTTGTTCAGAAAAAGAATGACAGATATATTGCGAAGCCATCTGTGAAAAAAGAGAGAGTTGATCGTAAACAAAATAAATAAACCCAATAGGTGAGTAGCTCATAAAAACGAAAGTGGCACGGAAGCAATTTTAAAAAATAGCCGAGGATGCACAACCACCACAGGCGTAATGCTGACAAGGTGTGCTTTCATTCTTCGAATTAAGAACCGTAAACAAGCAGGACAAAAATATGGGAATTATCGCGACTGTTTTCGTTCATGTTATATGATCAGCAGTGCAGAAATCTAATAGCAAAAGAGAGAAACTTCTGATCCATTAAATATTAGTGTCCTAATGTTGCTGGGCGTATTTTCATAATACACAAAACTGTGGAAACACTTGCATGTATTTGTTACCATGGATAAACTGCACCGCGGTGTCTCAACCACTACTATTAGCAGAAAAACTTGCGTGAGGAATGCTTTAGTTATCGCATAAGCATCGCTGACTAAAGTGAAACGCGGCATTGTAAGGTTTCAATGTTGTGAGATCTACCTCATTGTTTGCGGTTAAGATTGAAGTGATGTCCTCTGGATAACAGCCAAAGCAGAGAACGTTTGGAGGCAAAAGTGTGTTGCAAAGAAACTACTGAAGACGAAAACAAGTAGTGTGCAATCAATGGATTTCCATGGATCTACTTAGCTAGGTCAGCTGCCCAGATTGGCGTAAATTCGGCTTGCGTGTCATGTGCACCCGGATGTGCCTGAAACGACTTGCTACTTCGGCTGAACACGATTGTCTCAAACCGTTTCCCATTGAAATATTGAGTCTTTCTAGAAGAATTCACTTCCTTCCGGACAAATGTATTGCCGCCGCATTCGGACCGCAAAGTACCGATACTGGCACGACGCAAACTGTACAGATGCCAAGCTCGACCATTACTGAAAAATCATTCGAAGATACCGAATAGCATACGTAGATAAACAACGGTATCACGTGTAGCAGCCAATAAACCGAGAGTTTAATCCATATCAGCTAAACTCGTGTGGACATTGAATACGATATTGCCGAACAACGTTCTTGGGATGCCAGCTGAATGTTTCGGTAGCAGAGTTCTAGGACATGGTGGAAGTTCGCCCGGTAAGCACTCTCCCTATAAAAGCCACATATTTCTGTTTAACACCAATGCGACGTGGTGGATGCGGCTCGTCACTAAACAAAGTCACCGCGACTTGCTTCAGCCCTGTGGGGCAGTGTATCCTAATAGATGAATGTTATCTTACCGTGAAGATTGGCAACAGTTTGGCAACTTACAAAACAAAAGGCGTATGAGAGATTGGTCACCGACTCCCAATGGGCGCAATTCTCTGAATTCGTCCCGATGCCCTGAGGATAGGCTATTCAGCCAAAACCTCGGAGTGGCCTCCATTAAATACTCGCAGCTTCGGCCTGAGCAACCGGGTAGTATCGCATCCTTCAACAAAAACATGGATTTCCTATGTTGCGTTCAGTTATCGTTTTACGATTACTGTATCTTCCATTGTTTGTCATGGTTTCGATGGCTCCACGTATATTTGCAAATCCTCTCCCCCTCAGGTTCATGCATAGGGACATTACTCACAAGAGAAAGCATTGGGGATGTTTTTGGCTGCTCGTTATAGACAGGTTAGACTGTATATATATATATATATATATATATATATATATATATATATATATATATATATTCTGTGTGTGTAGAAGACAATGAGATATTTAAGGCCCGTGATCAAGAGTCCACGAGACACCGAGATCGTAAATAGGATAACTACTAGTGTCTACTAACCAGAATATGGTGAAAGATACCGACAACAAATTGCGAGTGTGCACACAACATACATCAGTCAATCGTTCGCTATGTGCACAGAAAACATTGAGGAGCGCATGAAAAGTGGTGCGTACTGTAGCCTCCATTTCACACAACCAACTCGACTAGGGCTCGAAACAGTCTGAGCGCCAATTACGTTGCCGCCATTGTCGAGCAGTGTGAGCTGGTCTAGAGTTAAACGATGACCTGAACCGATCACTCGTGTTCCACTCGAAGGCAGATGAACATTGATACCTCATCACATGGATCAATGGCTGCCTTTCACAGGTACATCGGAGATGGGCGATGATTTAGGATGAAAAGCCGCTCGATAGACTAGTTTCCTGTGAAAAGCGATGCAACAAGAGGACGCACTTCTGTTTCCAACGCAACGTAAATGAATGGAGAAGTGACGCAAATGCAAATAAGGTTAGTGCATATTCATCTGGTTGCAGACTCCTGTAAAGCAGTCACTGTGCAAAGACCGTAGATCACGTGCCGAAAAACAGACCCTCGGGTTCAGCCGAGTTAAGCAATGATCCAAGTCATCATCAACAGTAGTATATCAGCCATCTGAACAGATGCTTTCCTGCCATACAACCAAGATGACATACGAAATAAAGGATAATAAGAGGGAGAGAAGGATGAGCTGCCGGAAAAGTTTAATGCCCTAAGCAAACATTCAGGGTCAAGGCGCTTACACCTTGTGTAGACAAGATACCGTCACAAATAGCTAGCTATCGTGCATAAGGCGGCATCGGCGAGACAGCTTCCTTGCGGCTTTCATTGCCCGCGTCATAATCAGCCATTACCCCACAGATAACTCAGCACCAAACACACTTTAAACAGGCAGTCCGACTAGGAGAGGGCAACAGACGCGCCACTGGTGTCGGTTGCGAGCCATGTTCTGTTAAGTCTCGAGCCAAGCACAAGGCGAGTCATGTGGACTTCAGTCCGGAAAGTAGGACGGAGAGACTGCAGTTCACTTCGTCCTGTCAAGTCAACTTTTGTCCACCTCGAGCCTTGCGCCACCCTATACCTGACAGACAAAACAAGGCCCTCCTCAGCAAGCAGTGACCAAGCATAGGTAGTAAGTGCTCAAGCCCACGCAACCTATTCAGTGCTATCTGTTGCTCTAAAGAATCAGCTCGGTTATCACTGCCTAGTACTCGCCATGGCACATCATAGTTGTACACATGCTGATGCCATCCGACACCACTGATGCTCCGCAGACAGCGATGATCAGACTTGAAGGCCCCACAGGTTCCTAGACCGAAGAGGCCAAGTCTCACTTCCATGGAGCAAGACGGCACTCACTGTCGCATTGTATACACGGCATTTCAGATGGAAGGAAACGCCTTTCTGTCGCAGATTCCAAAAGACAGTCGGAACTGTCTTTTGCAATACGTAAACTGATCTCAAAAGCTATACACATATCGTTGCTGACACAGCTGCCAAGTGAATTGATCAACAACCACGGGTTTTTCGTTTTTAAGGGTCAACCGCTTATCAAGTGGCTGGTGGTCCTGCAGCAACGATGTACTTTGAAGGTGCAAAGCGCATACCAAATAATGGGATCACTCTATTCAGAGTTGACTGTGTCGCCGCAACATCGTCGAAAAGCAAGACGATATCGTCCGCATAATCAAGATCAAGTAACCTTTCACCAGATAGCACTTCAACGCCTACATCGCAAGGCTCCAGAAGAAAACACACTGTGATGGAGTCCACGACGAAATGGAACAAAAATAGGGAAATCGTACAACTCTGACGAACACCAATTGTCGGAAAACTATCCGACAGGTCACCGTAGACCCTGACGCGTCCTGTAGTGATCGAATATAGAGCACGTAAAATGTTTACAAGCATTCCGAACAGAATGGATCAACCGACAGAATCGAACGTACTCTTGAAGTCGAGGAACACTGCTATTGTAAGTCCGCGGTGCATGTGGTGCTGCAGTAACACCCGCCGCAGAGTGAATATACGTCTATACAGCCACATCCAGCGCGGAAACATGCATGCCCTTCCCTAATCCGATATCCTCGTTCTGCAGTGAGAACGGGCGAATGAGAATTGAGGCCAATAATTTAGTCACATCTGGCGTTAGGCTAATACCCCTAAAGTTAGCACAGTCAGTGCAGTTGCCATTATGATCGATTTACTTCAATTAGCTGGGATGCTTTTCCTCCCAGACCCGTTCGAACAAGGTCAGCGTTCGCAGAGGATCGCACCCCATCTTTAAATAGTGCAGCTGCAAGGGAATCCGATCCCATAGCACGAAAAAGATTAAGGGCTGCCATCGCGTTTCGGATCACAGTCTCCGAACTAACCGTCCATGGCTCATCCTGTATCACGTGAGTAGGAAGAGGTCCGGGGGAAGGGGGGCAGCAGAATTGATCTAGCAAGTTTTCGCCAAACAAGCCATCCGCAGCTTACTGTGAATCAGAGTACCCGCGCTATCTCTGATTGTTTCATTGACGTCCGGTTCCTTGGGACCAGTGGTGCGGATCAGTTAGAAGAGTTTGTGATAACTGCCTACTACTCCCGCATCCTCCATTTCTTGACGCTAACTCGTCCACCAGGCTTCCGTGTCAGCACGCAGGTTCCGCTTTAGTACGCGCCCAATAGTCCGTTTGGTCACACTGTGCACAGAGCCAGCCGGGAGCTTCTGCTATATTCCGACAAACTAACCGACCTCTCGGATACCTAGTGACTGGCACGGCGACGATTGATAGCGTCATAAACAGATTCTGCTGCATCGTGCATGGCGACCGAGATCTTATTCCACTGAAACTCAGTGTTATTAGAACAAGACAGCGAAAGTTCGGTACGCAGTACATCCTGGTACGCTCGCCTGACCGATGGCTGAGATAATTTCTCAGTTGCCAATCGAGTGAGGATTTGTGCACCTCACTAGAAGTTCGTGGAAAAATGACGGCGTACCACGGCACGATCAAATTCGATGTAACTACTCCAGAACAAGCGGCAATCCAGGAGAGAACCACGCCGCCTGTAACTTATGGCAGCGTGATCCATCTGGCCAGCTACAAAAGGACACCAAGTAGCACTTCGGCGCTAAATGTGTCTAAAAGCAATGCTGCTAAGAAACAACTGGCGTTACGCACAAAGCTGCAACAGATGCTCGCCAATGTCTATTCGTCCCGAGTGAAACTCATAATTACCCCATAACTGAGCTTCTGAAGAGCTCAGA